TTATAACCCCCGCTTGAGAAGGGCACATGGTGCCTAAAATGCAGAAGGATCCCAGGAGTCCAAACAGGGAAATATTGAACTCACCTTCATTTGAAGCAAGATGGAGAGAAGGAAGGAAAAGGAAAAAGGAAGGAATCAGTACTTCTGTATCATTTCTTACATTAATGTTTCCCTGAGCTCTGGACTACAGTATACAAGCTCACAGGCTAGAAGACAGGCCAAACACTGTTACAAAATGGGTTTGTTTCATTAAGAATTTAAAAAAATGGGGGAGGGAGGCACAATATTAAATCCTACAAATATTTGCATTACACATGAAATTGTGAACTTGGCACTTCCTTGCTTCCATTTTCTTTGATCCAGCAGCATGCTTAGGTAGTCTCTGATGGACCAGACGGTCCATATACAGCAAAGCACTTCAGTATGTGATTATCATTAAGCATTCACTTATGAGCTTTCCTGAATAAGTCTGGATATAAGCATGAAGTTAAGTGCTTGCCTGAATGCAGGTCATAAGTATGTGCGTATCGTTTAATTAGGCTTGGCAGAATTAAACTTTTGTTTTAAACATCAATAAATGTCAATTTCATCTCACACTCTCAGACTGACAAAAAATATTTCTATTGTTAATAACTGACATTTATAGAAAGGGGATGTCTAAGGGAGTGTGTGACAACAGTGGGAGCAGCACCGTGCTGTCTGTAATTTGGACTGCAACCTCCAGAAACCACAAGGGATTGGGAACAAAGGAAGAAGTGACAAAGCAAATGCAAGAGCTATGGGCAAGTGAATCTGGGAATGATGGAAGGTCTTCTGCTCAGTGTAGGTGGCAGTCCTACACCCCCCATTCCCCTAATTTCTTGCAATCCTGAAAATTTAAGTGGATAAAAATCAAAACAAATGCTTAAAAATAAACATCAATATTATCTGTCAAAAATATTAAAAAATAAAAATCTAGTTCTGCCAAGCCTACTTTTAACATATGAACAGCCCCATTGGCATCAAAGGGACTTTTCTAGCAAAAAGTACCTAACCTAGAAAAATCAAGAGAAAGGACTCAAAGAATTTTTTCTATTTAAGTGCTGGAAGAGGGGTTAATAAAATAATTTGCAATACATGCTATAAAGGCAAAGCCAATTTACATGAAAAAAATTAAATGCTGCTTTCCAATTGGTCTTAATCCTTCTTCAGATAGGTGATGTGTTAATTTTGTGGCACAGTAAAATCTCGTTTGGTAGAGTGCATTCTGTTTCTGATGGGGACAACTAGAAGTCAATCATTTGCGATAGCCCTGACAAAAGACAGTTCTCCAAAGCAAACACTCTATAAAATACATTTTTCTCTATATCAGACAAACTTCTGCCCATAATACCTACTTTCCCAGCTTTTATGGGCATCTATTGCTTTAATACTGCAAAGAGGAGCTGGCCAGTTTAGAAACGAGAGAGGCCACAGAGATTCAATTTCCTATAAAATAGTTCCCCACAAGCTGTTTAAACTTTCCTTAGTTAAAGCAATACTCTGAAGGTTTTTGAGATTTTCAGTGCAATACTTACAATAAAAACTGCTTGTGTTTTTACTGCCCAGAGGGCTCTGCAAACACATCAGCAGATTTATGCCTTTCCCTTCCAAAATAACCCCATGTTCCCGGCTGCAAAATTAATTTAAATAAACATATAGAAGAAAGGAACAGACTCACATGGATAGTTTTTTGAGTAATCTCTAATATCTACCATAAATCTGCTCCCTCACAACTCCTACTCACACACTAACACTTTTATCACACACACATACACACCCTCTTCTGTTTCATACCACATGCAATCCCTAACTATACCATAATGCATAATCTGGGTGCACAGAGTTGCTGGTGACAAAGTGCTTAAAGTCTGGCAATTTACTACAAACCTGCAATGGGGATTCTGTGTTTATGCATGTAATGCCTAATTGATGAGTGACTGAGAAATACGTGTCGTGATCATTCTTTACCTTTTTATGTGCATAGTGCTTGGATTACAGTATGGGATTCACTGTCACTTGGATTCTGGTTTCCAGGAAAGATCTGATTATTAGCAAAACCAAAGTCGTTATATTAAAACCTGCATTCTTCTGTGAACACAGCACAAATATTGCTGAATCGATTAATCTGGCACTCAGGGCATTGGTAAAAACACTTATGTATCATCACCAACATGCTTTTAGGAGAAAAATGGCCATGTTAGTGATGCTGCCGCCACCCCACTTGTCAGTTTTCCCACCTTTTCAGAGGTTCAGATGCAAACTGTATTCAGAGCTGAAAACAAGCAGACTGGAATGCAGTCAGGGAATGTATTTAGTTCTAATTGTTTTCTTTTTAAATGGTTTCAGCTGTTTGAATTAATAGCGATTAAAAGGAGGGGGGAAAAAAAGAGAGAGAATCATCCAAAATTGTCAAGCTCCTCTCTCCTTTCCACTCCCCACAACCCTTACTCCCCAGCCTACCAGCTCAGGTCCTCACTGAAAAGAAGGTTTTATTTTCCTGGAATTTAACAGCAGCAAGTTAAAAAAAGTGATTTTTACCCTTGTTGATGAAAAGTCCATTACAATTGTAAATGGAAGAAGGGGCTACTACTTACTGAGTCTCCTTTATGACTTTAATGGGCTCTGGCCAAGCTCCAAAGGCATTCACATTTATTGAGGAAGGGCCTCTGTGCTCCCTTTGAGAAGTTTCCCATTTTATCTTCCCCACCCTACCAGCACCACATGACTACCAAAGATGACACTTCCCCCGATCCTAGTAAGAAGACCAGGATGGTTCGCTCTAAACATCCATCAGTACAACTGCTCCGCCAGTCAAAGGAGTCTACATAAGAACGTGAGAACTGCCATTTACTGAGTCAGATCAATAGTCCATCTTGTCCAGTATCCTGTGTCATGCAGTCACCAGGAAAAAGACTCTGGCTGGGAGGACTCCCAAGGACTCCAGGGTCACTTTTCTGTCCCTCACTTGTTCATGTTTCCAGGCAGTTTCACTGGACTTGTCTGAGGGCTAGTGGGCACTTTCCAATGGGCTCTGCTTGGTGTATCCACTTGGTGCACTCGTTCTAAACCTCTGACCTCCACTCCCGTCCCTGGTATGTTTTCAGTTTCCCCAAGGAACCAGTTGTGATGTCTTTAGTGGCCTCCCTCTTAAGGGAGGCTTATAGTATTATTTGGTGAGCCTAGGCTCATGCCCAATGGCATAACAAATGAGCTTGTCTCTCACAGGGGCAGTAAGCGAAAATGCTGAAAGGGAAAATTACCAGGACCCCCCGCCCCAGTGTTCCTCTCTCACTTGCAGCCTCCAGCATTTTAAGAAGGCTGCTAAACTGGAGTTTGTAACAGCAATAAGAACTAGAGGCAGCAAACAAATTGCAGTTTCACCAAAGCACTGTAGGCACATGATTACCACTTGCACCGGGTACTGGCTCACAAAAGTAGTATTTCATTCAGGACTTGCCCCATGGAGAACAAAGTAGGCTTTCTGCACACAAGCATGAGGAAAAGGCAGCACAAACTCTGGTAGAAACTACCACAGACAAATAAAAAACAACAAGACTCACTAATCTGTGATAGTCCTTAAAGCGGACAGTGTGGCTTTATTCTGCCAATATGCAGAGGATTAAGGGCTTTTATTCAGAGCTATTAATGATCTCAACAGGAGAATTATGATAATTCCCCTAAAACCAGGCCAAGTCCAAGGGACCAGCTGATGTAACGGTGCAACCGTTGCTATTTATTTTAGGAATGGAACCAACCAAATCCTACAAATATCTCAACAAAAAGCTACACAGACACTTTTGTCTTACATTTTGTTAAAGAGCCTTTAGTCCACATGTGGCAATGACGGAGGTTGTTAATAGATCACTCAGGTGGTAATTTCAATGTTAAACCCTCAAAACACAACATCTCTAAATAAAGCTAAAAAATATGCTTTGTTTAAGTATCAAAGACAAATTAAAATTCCATTTTAAATTATGGTTCTCATGCTATTTCATTCAAGAGAAAAGAAAGACAGGAGTGCATTACAGTGAGCAAGAGCCAAGATGCTCCATTAAAATATCATGTTACTGTAATTGTTAAGTGATATATAAACCCTGTTGTCATGACTTCAATTAGCCATACTTTGCCTATGTTAATATTGTGAATACAACATCGAATGCTGATCCTATTACTTCTTAATTAATATAAATATATTTAATGATTAGGTATGTGTTGTTAAGAACTACATAAAATGTGATTAACTGATCAGGAACCACAACGTATTAATCCTCCACACATTTTGTTAATAAATTTTTTTTGCAACCAGGCTAAACATCAATTGGATTAAACATTTAGGCCCTGACCTAGCAATAATCTTTGAGAAATGGACCTCTGCATAGCCTCAATGAAGTCACGCAAAAGCAGAAGCAGCACATCAAAATTAGCTGGTATTATGAATGTTATCTTAACAACTTTTCCAAAATAGGATAAACCAACTCTCCTTGAATGGAATTGTAGCTTCTTTCTAGTTTCTCCATAAAATTAACAAGCATCACAAACAGTGAATAACTGAGATCTTCCCTTTATTACTTAAGAAAAATAAAAAGCTATTCCTATCGGTGAAAATGTTGATTGATGACATAAATTTTACTGCCTTTCTAACACAACATGAGAGAAAGAAAAGGAGCACAAGAAAAGAGGACTCTTGTTATATGTTAATTAACTGCCTGAATATTCAAAATTGTGACAGCAATAAATACTATCAGGGTGACCTATTAACACTACCCACTACAAATACTTATACTGTGTGGGTCTAGATCCTAACACACTTTGGCAAATGCTCATTTTAGAAACTAAGGACATCGCACTGTACGAGAATCTTTTCTCTCCCAACTTCAAGTACCTGTATAATCTCATGCAAACACATAGCAAAAACGGATATGTATGTAGTGGATTAGAAAAAAAAAAAATCAGCAAACAAAGCGCATTAAATACCATACCTCTGAGTCATAATCTTATAGGCATCTGGTAGATAACAGCGGATATTCTCCATCTGAGCAGGATCAGAGTCACAGATTTTATCATCAGTCCTACCATAGTTGGCACTTTCAATCATGATGACATCTGTTCCTGGGCAGCGAAGTTCTATTGGATAGCTCTCACAGGATAGTTCTCTTCGAACCACAGCCATGGGGACTGGGGCACGACTGAAAGCTGGAGAGGATAAAACAATAAATATTTCTTCAACACAGAGAAGAGAATACAAGAATAAAAGCAGAATTACTCTTGGAGGGTGGCGGGAGTGGATATACTGAATATCAAGACCATTTGTAAAGCTGCCCTTGAAGCACAGCGGACACATCATTCAAGCAGGACTCCAGAGAGATTCAGCCTATTCCCAGTTACGTTACTGATCTCCTAGGTGAAATTGGGCAGGTTGCTTTGCCCTCCTGATACCCTGGTTTCCCCACCCGAGAAATGGAAATAATACCACAAGCCTTCTTTGTAAAGTGTTTTGGGATCTCCTAAGACTAGAAGCCATATACAGTAGCAAAGAAATATACTGTTTTTATTGCCTTCCTCATGCAAAACTGTTTCACAGGTATGTTAGGTTCTACACTTGACTGAAGTTACATTTTAGTCTTCCTGACCAAGTGGGGAAATTCACTCTCAACACTGCACTGTGCATCTCCCATGGAATTCTTTGCAGTCATAAGAACTTGCCTCAGGGTCCTTGGACAATATTTTTCCAACAAGGTCTCACAGTTTTAAGCACTGTGCCACGACTCAGATAAGTACTGCCATCCACCCCGGAGTTACCATCTTTGCTGGGATATTCTATGTACACACAGCCAAGGCTTACAAAAACAGGTGCCTAAGTATAGGCCAATACTCTTTATCCTGGGATTTGCTCACAGTGTCAATGTTTCTGGAAATTAGATCAACCATCAGAGCAGAGGATTGGACTGGATGACCTGCTAAGGGCCCTTCCAACCCTAACTTGCTGTCATTCTATGTCTACATGTAGACTTATAAGTTTACATTTGGGCGCAACCATTTGGAAATCTTGGCCACAGTTTGAAAAACATTTAAACATACTTTGAGGGGTTGCCCCATTGCTTAGTATTACTTCACAGTCAATGCCCCTGTCACCTGCTGGTAGGGTTCAACATCAGAAACAAAATCTGCCCTGTGTTGAAGTCAGTGGGGGTTTTAATGTCAAGTTAAGTGGAATCTGAGCACAGCAAACACTGAACAATTTTGAAAACCCCTGCCCCAGAGCACTTAGCCCTGGCACTGCATTTTTCAGGATATGAATGACCATAGGAATCTGGGTGCTTTTGGCTGTGCTTGGAGAATTGTGCTGTGTGTCAGGTTGTTGTTT